CATCAAAATGTTCGTTCTAATTAATTATAACTACCTGCATACGGGAGCGGATCAGGTGAGTAACTCTTATGGTGAGCAATCATCAGTAACCTGTCCATATCAGCATGACATCAGTATCTCCTCTTTCCTTGAAAGTCTTTTATCTTTTCCCCTTTAATCTTTAACGGACGATTTCTCTCTCGTTTTAAGTCGAAATTTAAATTTTTTTGCACAGATAAATCAGATTAAATGTGATCTTTAAAATGATATCCACTTTGATATATTTTTAGTACAAAAAAATGAATAATTTTTTTACCAGTCATTACCATATGGTATGCTCATATTTAATACCATATGATAAGAAAGCGTATCATGATGGTATGAACATACCAATATGGTAAGAAGGTTGAATACATGATAGTAGGAGTATAGTAACTGTATTTTACGACTTTCATCATTGTTTGCCACAAGTTACCACCCACATACCATAGTGGTAAAGTATGGTAATTTTTAGTCCAGTATTTTTTTCACCCAGAAATTTGTAGATCCAATAGATCATTATGAACTCGTTCCTTCTGAGCAAACGTTTTCAAAAACGACTTAAAAACGAAGAAGTTACCATATGGTATGTAGTTGGTAAAAAAAAGTTTCTCGAAATATATTGAAAATTGATCTCATTTTGTAGAGCACAACGAACTCGTTCCATGTGTGCAAAAAAAATTGAAATCCGAGTTAAAACGAAGAAGATAAGAGCCGATTATGAAAACTAGGGAAAATAAAATGTCTTTAATTGACAACCCTTAAATCTGAATTTTCTGGGTCCACTTAGATCTAATGGTCCAGATTTAGTTACTCATAGGTCAGTAACCATTGGTTACTGACCCTATCCTAAGCCCCTGCATACAAAGAATTTACAAACTATCTAATTAAAATGATGAAATCTACACTAATCTAGATTACCATAAAATAGAAGGTTTGGCATTTTAGCATTCCTTGTTGGAACAAAACCCACTCATGGGGTGCCAAAATGCCAAAACCCTTTAGCATTCTAGCATTTTCCCAATTTGTTGTTGGAGATGGTCTTAGGAGGAAATAAGAATAACATACATTGGAGCAAGTATTGATAGGATTAGTGCACCGGAACCTGCAATTAGGAGACAAGAAGAAAGTTAGACAAACACAAGTAGGATGGCAAATTCGACCTGACCCATTTTATCCAATTTGTTTGGCTTGTTTTGGGGCGGTGTGGACATGGGTACTCTCATCCAGTGACGAACCTAGGAATTTTAAATAGGGGTGTCCTCTTTTAAAAAAATTTAAAAAAATCGTAAATAAGAAAATACATTACTCGTACAGGTTACAAAAAGTTCATGATGTGTTTTCATTTTCAGAAATAATGGTAGAATATACTTGGTGTATACAGTGTTTAAAAAAATTGTCTCTATATACCCTACTAAACAATCATTGACGAACTGATCGCGTATTCACTTTGCAAACTCGTTTTTTATGTAACCCAAAGCTGAAAGACTCTTTTAACACTTGTCGTACAACCATAAAATCAATACAAATTAAGGGTAGCTTAAAATCAGTTTATTAACTGTTAGTATTTGAAAATAATTAGAGATAGGAATGACATTTTACTATTACACAATGTTCTAAATCGAACAACAAATGAGTTGTAGGTTAATGAAAATTATGTTTATTTATAATAAAAATAGTGTTCTAGATTTGATTACCCAACCTACTATTTATATTCCCATACACAAATTTAAAAAATGACAGTAGGACAATCATTTTTTCAAATTTCAGGGGTGTCCCTCACTGTCAATTATAATTATTTGTCCGTACGTAAATTACCACAGAGTATTGGATAATTGTTTTTCCACAATTTAGGGGTGTCCCGGGACACCCCTAAACCCCCTTGGGTCCGCCCCTGCTCTCATCGCCCGACCTGCCTTGACCCGTCTCATTCTCGACCCGTTCTTGCCTAAATTACATGTAATCTTAGTCAAATTACTTAGGATTTTTCTTTTATTACATCATAATTTAGCTATAATAAAATTATAAATTAGTAAAAATCTCAATTTCTCTAATAATTTAACTACGTTTATCATAATATTATTTGTTCTCTTGGTCTTATAATAAAAATAACTAATATTTATAATGTTTTTCATATAAATTGCATACTCATTGGGTCGACCTGCCCTGGCCCACGACCCGTGATAAATTACCCGACCTGCCACGAGACAGGTCTTGGTATAAAAAACATGCCCCGGACCTGCCCATTGCCATTCCTAAACACACAGACATATAGCAAAACAAGTCGATCGACGGATCGAGGACAATTGGCAGAGACTTACCTAGGTATCCCGCGACCATTGCTGCGAAGAAGCAGGGGAACTGTGGAAGCGAGCCTCAACATTTATGAATTAATAGGACAGTACTCCAAGTTGATGAACGAAAGAGGTATGTCAACTGATCCTCTTTTGGTGAAGCTGTTCCAAATCAAGCATTCCCCGGCAGCAGATAGGGTCAGTAACCATTGGTTACTGACCTATCAGTATTAAATCCGGACCGTAGATCTAGGAATGTCATTATTATATTGTTGGGCTGCACGTGGAGTGAGGAGGGGCATTTTTGTCCGATTTTTGAAATTTGATTTCTTTCCTTTTTTTTATTTTTTCCAGCATTTATATGTGTTGTCTTTTAATGGAGGAAAGAGAAAAAGCAGACTTTTCTCTTACTCTCTCTTTTCTCTTTCTTCCTTTCTCTCTTCCAAAATTCTTTTTCCAGATCTAAATCTCATTTCTTCTCTTGTTCTTCATTTTTTTCTCCAACAATCGATGAATAAATTGCAGCCTTCCACTTCAAATTCGGTGAGGCTCCAAATCCTTCTACTCTCAAGCTGCTCCTTCCTTCTGTTTTTTTCTTTTATCGGCCTCAAAATCGATGATGCTCCATATTGTCAAAGAGGGGACAGATCTAGGTGAGTTGAGTTTGCATCTTTTGTGTTTTAGTATTTGTTTGTGAATTAATTCCGATCTTCTTCCTCTTTTTCTTTCTTTTTGCATTCGGTGTTCTTCATTGCGGAGGAGTAAATGACAGGAGACAGAAGACAAGTTTTTTTTCCTCTTCCTCCTTCTGTTTCCCCTTCTTTGAGAATATATATTGAGATTACCACACTATACCATATGGTAATGTGTCGATACCATATGGTATTGACACATTACCATATGGTAATGTGTATATACCACACTATACCATATGGTAATGTGTCTATACCATATGGTAATGTGTATATACCATATGGTAAAGTGTCTATACCATATGGTAAAGTGTATATACCATATGGTAATGTGTCTATACCATATGGTAAAATGTATACCATATGGTAAAGTGTGGTAACGAAATTTATTTTTATGGATATCGTGTTTTACTATGGTCGTAAAAGGGTTGTAATTAGATTTATATTATTTTTATATGGTTTTAACTTCTCATACCATGTGGTATTGTATGGTAATTACAATTAATTTGTGTTCATTCGATTAACCATGTTCTACTATGTTGGCATTGTATGGTAGTTAGATTTACCATATGTTGATATTACCACACTATACCATATGGTATTGGGTGGTAACGAAATATATATTGATATTACCACACTATACCATATGGTATTGGGTGGTAACGTAATATATATTGATGTGACAAATTTTTTCATACCATATGGTATGGTCAATACCAGTCATTACCATATGGTATAGACTGGTAATAACTGACAAATTTTTTTATGTCTGAAAAATATCAAAGTGGATATCATTTTGAAGAGCACAATTAATCTGATCTAACTGTGCAAAAAAAATTAAATTCCGACTTAAAACGAGTGAGAAATCGTCCGTTAAAGATTAAGAGAAGGAAAATTAAAGGTTGTTTGAGGAGAGAGAAGGCGCTGATGTGATCTGGTCAGCGTCAGCGCGTCAGCGCGTCAGAGACATCATTAAATAGGGGGTGCAATTTTACCTTAGTGCCCCTCCGTATTTTTTTTAAATAAAAAGAAAAAGCTGACACGTGAGGGCCAGGGGAAGGGGTTACTGATGGTTACTGAGGTATTGGTTACTGAGGGAATTCGCTCCCGCATTCCCCTCTCCTCTTAAGGAAAGCTTCAAACAGACGGTTCATCCATTAAAGATTCTCGGGAGGATTGACAGCAACGGCACTCTTGAAGCCTCTATATATTCCAGCGTTCCAGAGTCTGAGTTTTGTACAATAGTAACATTGAAAAAAGATCGGTTGAGGGCTACCACTACAACCAAAAACTAGCTTTTACCACCAAAAGTTCACAACCAAACTAAAAATTGGTAGCAAAAAGAGTAGTATATACAACCAATTATATTTTGAAAGCTAAAATATTAAAAATTTAATTGTCTATTAAAGTCAAAGTATCGATAACGAAATAATACTTGCATCACTTGTGTAGCCACACACCTGTTACCTCGCTTTCCATAGTAAAAGAGTTTATTATGTAAGAACCTTCACTTATGGATAATAAGAAAATTATGTATAATTATGTTACTACTCCGAGCAATCACTTAAATCGTGCCGTATGTTATATGCCATGTGAGGAAACCAGTTATAAGTTAGTTTTGTTTGACAATAAGTTAGTTGGTGACAAAGTTTTGTGCTACTGATGGTGGACCCATTCTAGGACAAGTAACAAGAAAACCAAATTCAATCAAACTATACTTTTATCCCAAGAGAATTACATGAGCATTAGCATTTCTAGATTGTTTCTTTGTCATATAAAAACAAACTTATTATGAAATTTTTCCCAACTATTTTTTATGCATATGGTTCTTTTAATGATTTATAAGTTTGGTAAATATTTGGATAAAAATAGTCTCTGAAGCCTGAACAGATTAGAGTGCTACAAATCCTACCCTTAACATAAAATAACTCCTAACCCTGGGGGGAAATGTTAAAATTAGAACCATAAAGATTCAGTAAAACCTATAAATGCATGTGACTGTGAAAGTTCCCAAAAAGATTCAATTCCCGACCCGTTCATCCTTATCAACAAAGAAAAAAACGAATTGCTCCTACAGATCCAAAGACAAGATGTGTTGGTTCTTTGATAAGAAATACACAAAGCATCCCTCTAGCAGTGGGGATGGAACATAAACAGTTAATCACAAAACAATAAGACTTCACCATCATAAACAGTTAGCTTTTCCACAGCAGCAAACTGGGTTCGTTCCATTCCATGTACAAAATAGGTTAAGATGATAATTACCAAAATGCACTTAACCTCCATCCTGCATCCACAAACAATTGCTCTCAATTCACTGACTTTACCTGATTCTTCTGAAGAGTTGCAGCCCCCAAAAGAAAGCCTCACAACAAACGGAAGCCCTTCTCTGCAATTCAAAAGCTAAATCATTCTAAATTCCTAAACTAATCTCCTCTAGGAACCAACCCAAACAAATATCTACTTTGCCAACAAGCTGCCCTTCATTTCATGGTATTTTCACCTCTGGGGCATTGCCCGCACTGTACCCACAAGAGGCAAATGAATCCCCACCCCATGGCCAGAGCTCGAAGAACACGTCGGCTCCAAACTACACTGTGTTAGCTTACCGTTATCCACATCATCATCCGTACCCATAACCTGCAGAGTTTCAGTTTGAGCTGCCAAGGAAGTGCCATTGTCAGCCATCGGTGACCTTGGCTGATGTATTCCATCGGACAAGACTCCAGTTTCGGATCCTTGATGCATAGCTTTGCTAGTTGACAGCTCAGCCTCAGAAGCCAAACCACAGTCTCCGTAGTCCATGCTTTGGGCGGAAATATGGTTAGAATCTTCATGTGAAGTCAGGTTCAGATCAACTACAGTCTCTTCCAAGTTCGACTTGCTTTCAAGTCTTCTCTCATTAATAACTGCAGCAGGTTCAGGGACCTCACCATTTTTTTCCCCAGCATCATCAACAGAAATAGGAGGACAATGATCCATATTCACATTGTTTTTCTCCACATAACCAGGATCCTTACCAATTTGGTCAAGGGAGCTTTGATCACTAGGATTGTGGGGCAAGTCAGAACACTCGCGTGCTACAGAAGTATCGTTCAAGCCTAGTGACTGAGATTCAATACCATCTACATGTTCATTGGGCTCATAAGCACTGTTCAGATCAAATCTAGCTGGACGTCTATCATCAGAATCATTCAATTTCAAACCTGCAGCATGTAGTTCATATCAGTAAGATAAGGTCAAATCTCCATTTGACAACGTAAATTTGCAAATAATACCTTGAACGGGAGCAACATCGTCTCCATCAGAGTGATGAATCAGCACTGGTTTCTGTAACATGTCGACACCGGGAAACACTACCATGTTCATGTTTCTAACTGTCGGGCTACTTGATCTTTCAAGTGGCCCGAAACCAAAGATGCCTGTCCATGTTTCCCTTAATTCAGATATTGCAGGTATGACCAGTTTCTCTACGTTCAGAGAGTGAAGAGCCTGATGATTGGGGGAATATGAGTAAAAACAATGTGTAAAAAAACCAATAACAGGAAAGTCAAGAAAAGAATATGCAACTGAAATTGCCATTAACTTAACAAGAAAGATAATGGCATGAAGGGGAACAAGCATACTCTTTAGAATGCCATTCATTAAGGCCATTGACAGGACAAGGATAATGATATGAAAATAAGATATACACAATGAAAACAGGAAAGAGGGAAAACAGGATAACAAACAAGGATAAGTTCTTGTAAGTTCTCGAGTTAGGTTGAGTCGCACATCAATTGCTACAATCATCCGGTAGGTAGCAGCTAAAAGGACAAGTGGTGATACCGGAGCAAGAAAGAAGAAATTTATACACGTACACTTTTAATTGCACTTAAAAGCCGCCGACACATTCCTTGCCGCCTATAAATGTAGCGCGTCCCTATGAAAGGCATCTCTGCTAAATTATTCCCGTGGATCCTGTTTCATCAGGCACACAAATCGTAAGCAAAAATTAGAAGAATTGGACATTTGAAAAATATATAAAAAGAGAGCATGACAAGCTGGACTTAATGAAAGCACCACAAGCAGAAAACGTCAACAACTAACAGTGTCCTCCATTCAAAAAATGCAACTTAAAATGCATCTACTTGACACACTGTACAGTGTGTTCTATCGAACTTAGAACTCGTCAACCTTGCTGCCTCTGGTGGGTAAGGTGCTTAACAATATAGATCCCTCCCACCCCAATGTGGGTGATGGTAAAACTTCGTTGCATGGAAGGATGAACTATCTCAGTGGGTTCAGAATAACGGATGGAGCTCACTCTTTCAGAAGGATTTCATCAATTTTAATATCCATATCCTGATAAGTTTTGACAAGCATACAACAGATAGTCATACCGAATGGATGCAGCAGATACCATTTCATCCCCCCTCTCCAAGATTATAGTTAGAAAACTGCCATAGTTCAGTCTGGTAAAGTTTGACCTGAAAAATTACGGGCACTTCATCAGATAACATTGTTAGATGAAACTAAGTTTGCAGTGTGTGATGACAATAGCCCACGTTACAGACTATGAAATCTCAGTAAAATGTTATTGACGATGAAATCACCTAAAAGCTAGGCATGAATCAAGAAGCGAGTCATATATACAATGTATTGTACAAAAAGTCGGGGTTGTCCACAGAACAATTTAGATTTCGGGGTTGTCCACAGAACAATTTAGATTTTATCTCTAGTAAACTTGCTGCAACAAGAATTATATAACAGAGATTAAGGGTGTGTATGTGTGCATACATTTCAAAATACAATATGTAGCAGCAGATAATGCATTTCCAAGTGAAACTTCCAGATTAAGACTTCTTACCCGAAATTATAAACAATGTTCCGAATTAAATTGACCCCACTTCTGTGATCAACCATGGGCAAAAAACACTCATCCATTATCTGCAAAGCGACAGCCACCTTGGAGTTGCATTGGACCTTTTGAGAGATCCCACTGAGAGAAATATCAGACCCGATATCAAACCGTCGCACAAGGGTCCATGAAAACCCATCTTCAAGTTCATGCTTTACCCCTAGGAGCAACTGTAGTCTCTCATTCAACTACACAAACCAAAGCACTTCAGTCATGAGTCCAGATTAATTAAAGATAACAAAATTATATTCTCCTTGTGACTGGCGTCATGCAAACGAACAAGAAAAATAGAATATTTGTAGTCAGTAAGGGCTCAAGGGAAAAATGGATGTTTGAATCCGATAATGGAAGTGGCTTTACATACTCTCTGCTGAAGGAATTTGGTACTCCCCCATTTGGATGACTGGAAATTAGTGGCAAATCCCCAAGTGCCAAAATCTCTCCATGAAAGGAGGATTGTTATATTACCACGAATTTTTTGCAAAGTTAATCTAAAAGGACCCATTTTACAATTGGTTCTCATAAATCAATCATCCAAAGACCAAAATGAATATATCACGGGTCACAATCCACCTTCTTTGACCCGGTTCAACATTTAGACATGCAAATGACCCCTTAAACTGGTCACTGACACTGATGTCTGAGTTTTATATGCAGTTACAGAGCTCTATCAACTTTCATGGTCGGAGGACACTTTGTGCTACATACTCCAGCATGAGGTAGCAGAAGCAATAAAATTTTAAATTTCTGTCAACAGAGAAAATACCTCTTGGCAATTCTTTCCGCAAAAGGATAGAATTGGGTCATCATCTTGAACATACTTTGACTGTACACAAGATGTGTGATCTACAAAAGATATGGTCAACTTTAGGTAAATTTGTAAGACTGGTAAAAATCATAGGAGTCAAAAACCTCTGAGTGCATGTATATGTACGTTGTGATGCTGAGTGTAAATAAAGAGTGGTAGAGAAGATTAGGATAGACGAGTACATTTTTCCTGACACAAGCAACATTCAAGTAATGGGCCTGCAGCTGTAGGATTGTCTTCACCCTCTTGGCATGCATTCCCGCAAAATTTGCAGGAACAATATATGCAGTGCCAGGTCCCTGAAGGAAACTTCTGCAACATAAAGGCCAGAACCAATCATGATAAATATGGCAGTCACAAGAATCCAAAACATAGCAGAAAATATCACATGAAATTTATAACAATAAATTTGAGAACCTGAGGCAGCTTTAATAACTCTTTACCAAAGAAATTGTCGCAATATTCCAAATAAAGCAGACACCAAATGATTTTACGGAAAAGAAAGCATTCCAAATAGAACAATAGACGCCTACCTCAACTCCCAGGCAGCTCTGATGGAAGGTTGATGGACAGCCATCACAACAAACCAGGTCTCCACCATCTCCACAAATACCACAAGTGTCGTCATTCGGATCAGCACCACTAGTGTCAACAAAATGGAAACCGCTACGAAAAGGCTCGTCTTGTTTAAGCCACGAGTCTAGCTGGCACTGCAAGAGTGAACGTCCATCTTCTATACATGTATTATTGTACGAGTCAAAGTAGTTGCCACCAGCATGGTTACTGAATTGAGGAACTGTAAAAGTTCCACCGCAGCAATCACACCGAATCCCATCAGTTGTAATAGAGCCAGTAAAAGCTGTCTTTGTTTCTGAACCTTTTGAGTACTCCACCTTGGCAAATCGCAGCACACCACCCAGCTCAATCATCCATGACAGCACAGTTCGTTTCCCATCATATAGCACATAACCATCACCTTTATTAGAGCCTGAGAGATCCATGGTGTTACGAACCATCAAAGCATATCGCTTTGTGTTATGTGTTTTACGATGTTTCTTTTCCCTTGCCTGGTCAGATGCACCAACTAAGTCACCCTGTCCAGACAAAAAATTTGGCTTCTTTCTCCCCTTTAACATCTTGCCACTGGGATTTGCTTGGCTTCCAAGTCTTTTCTTATTAAGTTTCTTTTTCCATTTTTCCTTAGAAAGAGCACCAGATTTCTTCAAACCCTGCTTCTCCAGCCTCCAATCTTTTTTCTTTTTATTTTTATCACACCTCACTTTCGAAACTACTCTACGCAGAATCTCTAGCTCTTCATCAGAAAGTGGAGTAAACTTAAATCCAGGTTTGCAAGTTGCATAGTCACCACCACCATTATCATAATGCTCTTTAAGCACCCTGTACGCCAAGGTCACCGACCAATGAGTTCTTCCTTCAGGATTAACATAAACTGCATCATTGTACTTTCTTCCTTCACGGGGTCTATACTCAACTGTCCAGCCAGCACCCAACAGCATTTCCACAATTTTATCTCTGACCAATTGCTTTTCCAGCTTCCTTGCTCCACGGTCTCCAGCCTTCGGTTCAGCTTTCTGCTGTTCCAAATCTTCATCGGTATACTTTACCTCCTTAGATGTGGAATGTTTCTCCCCGTCAGAATTATTGTCGCAGAGTCCTTTTCCAGCAGTTTGATGCACACCATGTAGGAAAGCTGCATCCTCGTTAGTTTTGGCAATTGTATGCCCATAATCCTTACGAGGTCTTCCACGCCTGTGCTTTGATGTCTTCCCCTTTTTCCCCTGTTTCACATCAATCCTCTCCGACAGGTCGCTGCGCCAAACCTGGGGTGGCCTCCCAAGCTTATGGTTCACATTACCTTTTCCCTTTTTCACTTGCTTTGACACTACATTATTACTGCAGTCATCAGTCAACAGAAGCTTCCTAGGTCTCCCTCGTTTACGTAGTGCATCAACTTCTACCCTCTTCTCATGCTTCATTCTGATCTTCTCCATACTGTTCGACCCTGAAACCTTAAAGGGTCTTCCGCGCTTACGGGTTGTACCTGTTTCTCCCTCGAACAAAACCTTGGGCTCTCTTCCACACATACGGAGCACATCAGTTTCTTTCGCAGGGGAAACCCTGGATGGTCTTCCACGTTTACGGGGTGCATCATTTTCTCCCTCAAGCAAAACCTTAGGTGGTCTTCCTCGCTTTCGCTTTATTCGATTCTCATTATTAATTGGCGGACCAAAACAGCTCTCCTCGTCAAGCAGCTCTACTGCAACCTCAGAGGTTAACTTTTCAGATCGATTACAATCATTGGCCCCAATTTCAACCCCTGATACATCATTCAATTCTTTACCAACACCCTCCTCGCACACTGCTCGTGCTGTGGTGTTTGATCGTAGAACCCTGCGGCCCGGGATTTGCATTTGACCATCCAAATCTTTTCCCTTCGCCATCGTCTTCTGTACAAGAGCACCACTTGTCCCACCATATTTCTCACTCTTTTCCCTCCCATCATCGGCATTGTGAACAATTTTAATGTCATGCATGCCACTGTGCACGTTGCATTCCCTGATTCTCGGCTCAGATCTCTCATTTCGTTCCAGAAGGATATTCTGATCAGCGAATAAAGCACTTTCTTCTTCGCCAGAATCTATCAATTTACCATCCCTGTCACTAGTAAAATCTGCAACATTTGCGCCTCTTTCTTCCTCGTTAGAGTTAGTTTCACTCTTGCTTCCCAACCCATCATCCTTTACTCTCTCTGATGTTTTACCATCACAATTGCCATCCAGCTCTTTCTCCAACGCATTCTGCTCTTTCACCTCAAAAGTTGTCGTTTCACACATGCTTACTCCACGGGGCCCAGTCTCAACCGCTGCAACCTTATTCTGTTCGCCAGCAACATCCTTTTCACACTCAGGTTTTCTCATAGTGCTTGACCGCAGAACTCTACGGGGTACTTGCAGATGACCATCTAAATCCTTTCCATTCGCCCTCTTCTTTTGGGAACTAGCACTTCCACTTTCTGTTCCCACAAATTCTTCATTCAATTTAGGCTTAGTTCTGCCTCCCAAATCTTCATCTTCGTTGGTTTTCTCAAAGGTTCTGGTTCCAGAGTCACTAACTCCATTCACTCCAATCCCGAGCACTAACGACTTGTACCCATCTTCCGCAAAATGCTTTTCACCCTCAGATTCACCCAAAGAGCTTGACTGGAGTGCTCTACCTTGACAATCTGAGTCCTCTTGCTTTAATTTCTTCCTTTTATCATCAACATCTCCACCCTCGAGTTCACGAACTACCCTGCCCCTTTTCCTCGTGGCTGTAGCATCCTTACCAGCGCCACTCTGCTCACCACATTCCTCGTCTTGGTCATTTCTTTCCAGTCTCACACTCACGTCAGGGAATAAATCATCTTCTTCACCGGAATGCTTTAATTTACAGTGTGTACCGCTACTCCCATCCACAAACTTCAACCCTATTCCGTCTTGGATAGAAGCTTCGGCCGTCCTTCTCCTTTCCAATCCTTCATCTTCCTTGGTTGTGTCAAAGAATTTGCTACCGGATCTTAGGCCGTCCCTCATCACTGGCAATTACACATTCAAAATAAGAATAGAGACAGACAGACGGGGTGAGAGAGAGAGAGAGAAGAATGAAAACCTAGAAACCAGACAAGAACAAGCAGGAAGAAAGGAATGCCCCCGGGAAGTAATCGAATCGATAAAAAAAAAAAAGAGCTAACCAACCACCCCCTCCCCCTGCACTCACTGGGATTGATTCTAGCCGCGATCAGGCCGCTCGATCGAGGAACTGAGCTCTGCCAATCAAACCCTGGAATACACCGGGAACCAACGAACAGGCCAAGGAGAGGAGTTAAAAATCAGAAAGTATAAAGTTAAAAGAAGAAACGGAATCGACAAGAGTAGAGAAGGCGGAGAGACTCACGGCAATGCAGGAGAGAATAAAGAGGTGTAGTGGCCGGAGACTTCGCCGGAGCTAGCAAGGAGCTGCGGCATCACCGGACACGGCGAGGGCAGCGGAGGAGAGAGCGAAGGCGGAGGCTAGGAAGAAGAAGAAGAAGAGGAGAGAGGGGTTTAGGGCGAGAAGCAAAGAGCGGAAGGAAGAGGGTGGGGGGATTTCTTAGGAGACTTTTCTTTTGGTTTACGGGTTTTACTTGCAAAATGGGTGGCACTGGCAGCGCAGGGAAGGAACTACTAACTGCTGCTCTTTTTGCCCTTTCTTTCTTTAAAAGAGTAGTAGAGTAAACGAGGAGTCTAGGGGGTGGGATTGTAAATGATCGTATTTTTTTTTTTTTCAGGGGAAATGATCGTATTTAGTTCTGGTTTAGGGCTTCGTAAAAATTTCCCAATTTTCCCTCCAAAATTTCGGTTCCCATGCTTCTCCCACCCAAATTAAAAATAGAGAGGGGAACCACAAAATTTGAAAAACAAATAGGAAGTGCCATAAAAAAAAGGATTATTTCACCCTTTTCCAATTGCTATTTTTGGGACTTCGTAATCGTATCAACATTTTTCGGTTTTTCCTCCCTGCCTTATCCTAGTATTCCATTCAAATTTAAACCTTTCATATTCTTAAAAACAACATAAAAAATATACTACTTTTTCCCACCTTTTCTGTGTTATTTAATATTTTACATAAAATAAATGTCAATATCACGGTGTCGCGTTAGGAATCTTACAATAATGGAATCATAATATTTAGAGTGAGAAAGTAGAGTGCTCTGGTGACAAGGGTTTTGGTCGTCGGCCTTAACTATCGTGTCGGCATTTGGGTCGGTGCATCTCCATTTTCTAGTGTGAGATTTGAGAGTCCAGGAATAGACATTAAAGCAATTGGATTCTCCCTTGAACCAAACGCTCTAGCAAACTAAGCCATGGGTCAGTTTGTTTGGAATTTCGGAAGCGACCGCCTGTGCTACATCAAGCCGGAAGTGGTGAACGGCGGGTTGCGAATGCCCAAGGAGGTCAAAGAGGAAGGCGCTGCTCGTTGGCCAATTTTTGCAAGAAATCCCTCCGCTGATGGTGCTTCGACGATGGCCAAACAAGATCTGGGGTAGGGATGGTCAAGTTCGCATCTCTCTTTTGGGTGAAAAGTTGCTTCTGATTCAATTACCTTCTCAATCAACTTGCGATTGGATACTAGAGAATGGACCATGGTTTTATTTGGATAATTTGCTCTATCTTTGACCCTGGTCTCCAAGTATTATTGCAGAGGACCTAGGCAGGAAAACGCCAATTTGGCTACGATTATCGAATGTGCATCTTGAGTATGTTAACTTTTAGGGCATGAGTAGGATTGTTAGTTGGGTCGGCATCTGATCGTCCGTAACCAACACAGGAAAAATAGGCAAGGGTACCTATCGTTCTAAGGTAGTATAGCAGGAAGCAAGGTCGTATCCGCAGAGACTTCGTGTACTAGTACTCAGCTTTTACCTATTATCTAGTCAATCGTTTTTAGTCGATTTTCGTTTAGAAATAAAAACACACGCAATAATAATAAAACACAATAAAGTAGTTTTCAAAGTAAAATCAAGTGGAGAAGGTGTTGTCCCGGAAGTAAATCCCCCTAATATGCATTTTACAGACACGTTGATTTTAACACAGACGAGTGTTTATATCTTAGACGTGAAAATTCCCAATTTAGTGTTAACCCGTTCGCACATGTATTAACACCCTTTCGACTTAAGAATCAAGTGAAACCGTGGGATCTAACATGCAAAATTACCTTGCAGTCTCATTTACATGTGTCAGAAAAAATATACAATAGACGAGTACTATTGATACTTGCACATGACAAGTCGACAATAGATCGTAAGAACGAAAACAACACGTCTATATCAAAGATACCACTCAATCCATGTAAAACATATTAGGGTTCATCAAATCCGGAACAACTAGAAGATTAGCCGGACATGAGGAGATTTAGAAAGATGAAGGTTGAGAACATTACCATGATGATGACGACGAAGACAGAGGGGTTGAGAATAGGTATGTATATTGAGTTAATAGATTACGCCTAGCAAACTTCCGACGGGGGAATAATCGTTGGGCGAAGACGGTGGAAACCGACCAATCTACCACCACAAATGATTATCAAAACCCCACAGAATAGAAGCTTACTTCGGTAATCTCAATAACGCAATATACCACGGTATTCCAAAATACGAACACGAACATGAGAACCGCGATGGATGGAATACGAGATATGATTAACGAAATGAAAAGAAGTAACAAGAGTTTGGAATGAAAATGGACAGAGTTTCGGCTAACTTCAAATACAAGAAAGGAAGAACAAAATATAGAAGTAGCGTGTGTATATTGTGTAGTGTCCCTCGCAACATCACCTCTCCCTCTATTTATAGTGCAATTTTGGAATCTCTCGCTACTTGCTCTCATTCATGGCCAACAGCTTGCTTGTCATAATTCAGTAGCTTGCTTGTCATTTAATTGACCACCCTGCTTCCATTTCACTTCTCATTTCAACAACTGTCGAGTGATCCATGCTCCCAGCTGCTAGCTTGGACTGCGTGGCCAATAGAGGACCTTGCTTTCAATGGCCAGCTGCTTGCTTCATAAATTTTACATATCAATTGACCAACTTGCTTTAGCTCCGAGCTTGCATTTATCTCGAGCAAGTTGGTCCATTTAATTCGAGCAAGTTGGTCCATTTCCATTTCCAAGTCCGTGTGACCAGCAGCTAGCTTCACCAACCAGCTTGCCTCCAAATAAATTGACCAGCTAGCTTGCTCTTCCCACCGTCCGTGTGACCAGCAGCTAGCTTCACCAACCAGCTTGCCTCCAAATAAATTGACCAGCTAGCTTGCTCTTCCCACCATGTCATGCACGAGAATGCCAAAATGCTTCAGCTGCTTGCTTAATCTTCCATGTAATAGATGACACCCCATACGAGCTAACTGCTTGCCCCTTTCATGCATACGTACTTGATGGTTTGTTCACTCTTTCTTACTTGAAAATCATGAGCCAAGGCATCGGTCGTTGATCATATATTATTGCAATATCGAATTCTAGTTTGACCCATTTTCTCCCATGACTTTTGTCGACGTGGTCTTCAACGTGGTTAGATTCCAAAGTGTGTTGCCTTGAACGTGGTATGTGAACATGGCCATGTTGATGTCCACGTTGGCCCTTTTGACAGCTTTTCCTTATGTTTAGCAGGAGGCAGTTTGAATCTGCAGCTTGCACTTTGACTCTGCATTGTTAATTAGCTCTCTTTCCGTGATTCATCACCTAATACACGATGGGTTTCGTATATTGATAACAAAAGGGGATGCAGCCGGAGTGGTACGACTCTTTGCCCTCGCCTGGGACGTCGCGGGCTCGAGTTCCACCGACGCCAGAATTCGAACCCTAACCATCTTTTTGTTGAATTGAATCATTATTCCGTTCTTATTGGATAGAATACCCTGAAACATGACTCAAACACAAAACCAAGCATAAAATCGGGAAATCAAATGAACTTGGTACAATTTAGGTCATTTTAGGATGTAAAAGTGTAGGTGAATATATGTATAATTTAGGTGTTATCAGCATCCCATTGGAAGTAGATCACCACACTACAAGACTGGGCAGAAGGATGGGTATAGCTAAGGTGTTGGTCGAACTACAGGTTGAGGGGTCCGCAATTTGGCCATATGAAGCTCCTTCAATCCAAGTTAGGGTGGAGTATTGGCATCTTCTTTCGGTCTGTCCTGTTTGCAAGTTATTTGGAACTAAATGTTGTGGTCTAGTTTCTAGTCAGAAGGTTTGGGTAGCAAAAATAGGGAATCAGACAGATGAAGTGGGGATTCTATCTAAGTAAAAGGAAGCTGGGGGATCTCTAAGGAGCATGAACTAGGGCTGGCTATTTGGTCCGGGTTTTTCGGTTTTACCTGAAACCGGACCGTATAACCCGGACCGGGACCGGATAGTAAACAATCCAATCCAATCTTTGGGCTTAGATTTGAGGTAAAAAACCGTTCTGGACCGGATCGAAAATTGGAGAAAGACCGGATAAGAGAGCTCAACACCCAAAACTTAAGGGTAATTTGCATAAACGGTCACAAACCTTTGCGCTTAGTACAAAACTTAACCAACTCCTCACCCTTTCAGGCCTTAGGCCACTAAAATCCCCTCAAGCTCAATATAAAATCAAGACCGAATTGGGACTGGACCGGGTCAAGACCGGACCGGATCAAGACCAGACTGTATCCAATCCAATCTTTGGTCCTTATATTTTCAAAAAGATCGAATGGGCCGGATCAATTTGGGTCAATTTAACCGGACTGGACCGTAGAGCCACCCCTAGCATGAACCATTGAAACCAGTGGCGGACCTAGAAATTTTACCAAGGGTATCCAATGAAAAATAAAAATAAACCTAAATAATAAAATTTCATTCATAAACTATACAGATTGATCGCTTTACAGTAAACCACGATGTATTTTCATATTCTAAGAAGTTTCAAAAGTATATTCATCTCTTATGTTGCGACTCAAACTTTTTAAATGAATGTTACCAAGCAATTATTCACAAATTGGTATCTCATATTATTTCGATAATCGGTTTTTATTAATTTAATTGCTGAAATGGACCTCTCAACAATGCGACTGTCAGCGAGAGAAGAAGGCAAGTAAGAAAGGAAGTATTGCACACATAAATTGAGATGTTTTCATTCTCGATAAACTATAACAGGAATTTGGGGGATAGTCAAAGAGTTTTTATCCTCCAAAGTGCAAAAGAAGGATTAATTAAGATGCTTGGATTCGATAAAATTAATATGGTTTAGAAATTACTTTGGGTGCTTAAATAGGTTTGCAAACTTCAATTTGAAATTTCAAGCGTTGTCAAATGGGAGAGGCTTCAATTACGACAAACAATAATATGAATTTTAACACACTAATTGGGTCCCCATTTTTAATTAATTTTGTCAATTGACAACCCTAAAGCATGTATGGGTCCGCCCCTGATTGAAACTAGTTTCCCCTGCCATAATGTCAAAAGAAATTCATTCAAAAATAGTCGAGAAATCTTCAAAAGATTCTTGCTTAGCCTTCCCGGAAGCTACCTTTAAAATCGCTAATTAGGGAAATTAACCTGGAAGTTTCTTTCTCTGAGGTATCCTCCGCAGGAGAGCTCCCCGTAGATGCTGAATTTTAGAAGGCAGTTAATGGA